TTTTTTTTTTTTTTTGGAGAGGTTTTTGCTATAGGGCATGTGTGCTTGCCAGAAAGACGGAGAAAGACAATGAGACAGAAAGCAAGAAATCACCCCCCGGGGGGATAGCCATGCTGCAATCCCTTCTCCATTGTCCTCTCTGGATCTTGGGCACACACTCACATGCGCCCAGCATGAATTTAAGCCACCGGGTCGGAGACACGAACCGTGGTCGACTACATGGGAGTCCAGCAACATAGCCATTACGCTAACTGCTGGTCCCTTTTAATTGTTATTTCTTCTTTTTTTAAAATTTGTTATAGAGCAGGTGCACTCACTAGAGAGAGACAGAGACGGAGGGGCTGAGAATACAAGCCAAGAGGTCCAGGACTCGAATCACAGTCGGCCATTAACCACTCCTCCACTGGCTGGCCTCACAGTCTTCTTAACTGGGAGACGGTCCTCACATTCTTAGCACCAAGGCTTACTAACTAGTGACTCTGTTCACCTGCAAGGTCTGTTTTGAATCCAGCTATTCTCTGAAGTACAGAGGCAGCTGAATAGCTCCTCATGAAAATTATATAATTTTAGAACTGGTAGTCATGAAGTAATACATATTCAAGCTCCATTCACAGATTCCTGATCTGCATTTCCAGAATTAAAATCTGTGACAGTCTGATCACCATCAATGCCACTCCTTCCCCCCTTTTTGACTGTACTCATTTGAAGTGTGTAACTTTTTTCCTCCAAGCCTATCTACGAGAGGAAAAACTCAGTGGTTAAGAGCAAATTCCTGGAGGTCGGTAGGTGACGTGGTGGTCAAGATGCTAGATCCCCACATGGCCAGCCACAGTTTGAGGCCTGGACCTGGTGGCCTGAAAATCACAACACATAAAAAGATGAATAAATAAATATGGTTATTAAAAATACAAATGAAAAACAGGAGTATATGTCTGACACACGAGGAAGGGAAGGCCTCCTCTTACATGTAAAGCCCCGTTTTACTCACTCGAGGTTATTGGGGTTATGCCCTCCTGCTCTTCTGCCGTGCCTTCCTCTCTAGGCTGGAAGGGAGTGTGCCAAAGTAGGAGCTGGGGCACCTGGTCTCTGTCCTTTCTCGGCTCAGGAAACTGTTGGGCATGCGCAGCAGGGACAACTATCGAGAGTGCACCCGGTGCGGGGACTCCGCCTCGGGCTTTCCTTGGCTTCTCTCTGAGAAGTCCTCCCACAGCTCCAGGCGCTGGCTACTTTCCTTCCCCCCATTCTGTAGGTGAGCAGACTGAAGCTTAGAGCAGTGAAGCAGCTGCTCCACGTCACAGGGCTACTACGTGGAAGAACTCTTATTTAACCCCCAGCCTGTCTGACTTCCAGGACCAGGCCCATGACCACCAGATTGTCTTAACTCTAAATTACTTTGTCACTCTGAGCTTCCTTCTCTTCATCTATAAAGAGGGAAATCGGAGTAGATGAGAGCATTTTTTTTTTTAATTTTTCCTATAGGGCACGTGCATTTGCCAAAGAAAGAGAAGAAAAGTGAGTTGTAGGTTATAAAACAGAGAGCCATACACTTGAGAGAGAGTTTTTTCTGTTACTACCATGTGGAGTGTGGGCCCTCCACTGGAGGCCTGACCAGAGAGGAACATTACCACGCCAGTGTTACAGAGATCTTGGGAGGATTGTGTGGGAATAGAACAGACCTAAGAACCGTTCAGGATGGAAGTCGAGGATGCAGATGGCTCCATATATTTATAAATAGCTCAGGGTGAGTGGGGCAGAGGCAGAGGAGGTGGCCATCACTTGGCACCAGCAGGCGACGCCCTGCGAAAAATGAGAACTCAGTCTTTCCTGACTTTCTTGTTACTGGGAGAGGGCAGAAATCCAGATATTTCTTGTAAAACTTTCCAATTTTCAAATGTCCAACTAATTCAGAAACGTTGTGATGCCATGCAAACAAAATGCCTCTACCGGCAGGATCCTATGCCTGGCTGCCATTTACCGCCTCTAGGCTAGAGGTGGAGTAGCTGTTTCAAGGCACTTATAAGGCCTGGACAGAGGCGATGAGGGCTTGCATTCTGTGGAGTGGAAAAGAGCACTGGAATTCTGACAGTCCTTTAAGGAGATGCCAGGATTTGGGGACTGTTGGTCTCCGTGCATCCTCCATAGTCCGCGCACATTCTTCGTCAATGCTTTCTTCATAGATAGCGAGATCTGGTTGAATGAGCTCAGGATGCTAATGAAGTAATGGTTCACACAGGGTTACGTGTGCATCTGAGGGTAATTAGACATTTGCATGCCATGCCTAAATGAGCGGAGGTAATTGTGGCAAGAAAACATTGCATGAGCTGTTGTCTCCATTTACTTGACAAATAAGGGCCTAGAGAGGGTTTGGGAAAGTACAGATTTCAGTCAAGTGTTGAAATAATGATCAATGAGACCTTTCATGTCAGAAGATCTGAGCTCTGAATCAGAGTCCTGGAGGGCAAACACACCTGCTTGGCACCCACTCCCAACTGGTTTTACAGTCACCTTTTCAGAGAGAGCCCGTGTCAGGAGGATTTGGGGAGGATGGGGGGAGTCTGTCAATGGAGTCATCTTTACGCTTGACTTGCTGGTATTGCCGGTTACTCAGAAGTCGCTCTTTGGCATAGGTGAAGTTATCCAGATCACCCAGTACCCTCGGCATGTGTCTGCCCAGACCTCGCTCCCCGAGAGGGATTGAGACTCGTTCCCCAGGGAGGGATTGCAGACCCTGCATTTGGACAATGAATATTTCATCTTTTACAGTCGGGTGGCTCTCTCTGTTCTCAGGACATGGCTCCACACGCAGTCGATGAATTATTTAGCACCAGTCTGCTGGTCTGCGCTGTCCTAAAGCGCCTCTCTGGAGGAACTGATGGTGAGCGCTGTGGTCAGACCACAGTGGTGCGGAGGTGGTAGCTGCCTCTCGTGACAACTGTGTCTGCTTTGGTTTGTGTGCGAAGGTCCCAGACGGATACCGAAGGCAATGTGACTGCCGAGTCCAGCTCAGCGGGGGTGAGCATGGAGCCCAGCCACTACACCAAGAGTGGACAGCCCGCCCTGGAGGAACTCACTGGTGAGTCTGGAGCCCAGGAATGCTGTGTCCACTGCCGATGGCTTCCTGTGCAGCCATGGCTGGAACAGCATGAGTGCAGCTGGATTTGAAAGTCGCTTTACTCTTGCGTTGATTGATGAGCTAGACACACTTGCCGTCTTTCCTTTTCTCTCTCTCACAGTCATGTCGCTCCTCCTATTAGCAAATCCCATTTTTACATACATTTATTTTATTCATTTGGGGACTCTGAACTGCTCTGATATTTAACTTTGAATCTCCTTGCTTGCTCTTCAGATAAAGTTGCTTTGCAACAAGAATTGGAACTCTAAGATAGATTTCTTTTTTTTTATTCCCGTCTGGAGGCACTGATTTAAGAATGTGTTCTTAGCATCTTCCACTTGTTGGAAAGAAGAAGCAGCATGCTTCTTCAACCCAAAATAGAACACTCTAAATTGTATTGAAGTAGAACCCAGATGACGATGACTTTAGGGTCATTACACACTATAAAAACATAAAATCCGCAGTTATATAGCGAATGCACAAACATTTATTTACTGATATTATACTGTCACATCCTTAATTTAAAAAAAGAAAAGTTACTCCTGAATTAGAGTTCTTACTGTACTACAGTATACACTTCCATTTCCTGCCCCCCAACTCTGCAGCCTGGGTTCTAGCAACTTTTCTCATATCTTGCCACTTCCAGAGTTGGGCTAAAAATCGAAGCCATGCTTAAAATTCATTTATTAGACTGCCTGTGACCATGCCATGGTAATAGTCACATGACAGCTGTGGAACTGGGATACAGCTCATGCGATCGAATCTTACCACTTGACCTTTAGCCCAGAGTAATCATTTCAGAGATCTGGGTGACTGAACTGTTTCCTTCGGATTCCTCTGGCTGGTCTCAGGGATAGAGCAGGAATGTTTTGAACCATTAGTGAGCAATCCATCTCTGAATGACTCAGGGCCCCCCGTTTGGGACCGATTTTATGTTCGTGTCTCTTCCTCATTTACAGCTCCTTTGCACGTGAGTGCCTGGGTCGCCCAGGAAGAGGACCAGTCCTGAGCAGAGGGTGTGAAGTTCAGATGACTGTTGGGGTCTCTGCTCACTTCCCAGACTGTGTCCTTATGTGCACCTATCAAAAGCAGCAGGCCAGTGCCTCAGAGCCCGGTGTGGATCGGATGTGTCCTGTGGAGTTGTGTGGGCTCAGGTCAGACACTGAGTCTCAGCAAAATCTGTATTTAAAAAGCAAAGGCAGCAGCCAGCGAACATTCCAGATATTGGATTTCAGAGTGATAGATTGCAGCCCGTGCTCTCCCATAGTTTTTCTTTTTCTCCCCATGTCTTCTGTGCATCCCAGTAAGAGCTCCAAGAGTCTGAGATGCCATAGGTTGGGGAACAGGTTTGCACAGCCAGGAGTGCCTGAGGGCACGCCCTTTGGTGTCCTATGCATGGCGTAGGCTACTAGTGAAAATTCCTCAATTGGGGTGACCTGTCTATGCATTGAGGCAGTAGAAATCACGTGTGTACTGTGAAATGTTTAAGGAGACATTGAACAGTAGCACAAGGTTGCATTTAACTTACTTACAGCTAACCGCATGAAATGCCAATGAACAGTGGGTATATTTGGAAACAGACATTTGTGAGCTCTTTCATCAGTTGCTGAGTTCTTCCCCTTGCTTATGCAAATAAGGTAGATTTCCCTGTGAGGCGCTGTCACACACTTGGTGTTACAGTTGAGAAATGCATCTTGTTTTGTAGTTAGAAGGAACTGCACACCTCTGCTTCTCATTCAGTCTGTTAACACATTCTGTAAGCTCATAATTTTATTTATTAGTGAGCGTACTGGCTTTTTTTTTTTTTTTTTTTGGTGGGGAGGGAGGTTTTTGCTATAGGGCACATGTGCTTGCCAGAAAGACAGAGAAACAAAGAGACAGAAAGCAAGAAATCATCCTCCAGGGAGGGGTGGGGGGCATGGCCACACTGCCATACCTTCTCCATTTTCCTCTCGGGATCATGAACATGCACGCACACACGCCCGGCATTAGTTTAAGCCACCGGCTCCAGGATTCGAACCGCAGTCGACTACATGGGAGTCCAGTGGCATAGCTATTACACCAACTGCTGGTCCCACTTACTGGCTTATTAACAGGTTGTCTTACATCTTTCGCTCGACTGTTTCTTGTGACAGAAGGTTATTCTTTCGTAAGATAACCCTTCCGTTCTTTTTGTGGTTATTAATTTTAATAGATAATCAAGTGCTTTTTTATTATTATTTATTTATTTTTATTATTATTATTATTGACTTTGGGGTTTCTTTATAGGGTGTATGCACTAGCCAGCGAGAGATAGTAAGAGGGGAAGTAAGAACTCACTCCCTAGGGAGGCTAGTCATGCCACAATCCCTTCTCCTCTCAAGATTTTGGGCATGCATGCAAAAGTACCTAGTGTGAGTTTCAAGCTGCCGGGTCCAGGACTTGAACCATGATAGACCACATGGGAGTCCAACACCAGAGCCACTATGCCATCTGCTGGCCTAAAAACCTAGCAAAAAAATTTTTTTTAATAAAAAAAAGAATAGAGGCTTTTTGCAGCGTATGGTTTTACAGGTCCACAGTCAGGGGCCGTGTCTGGTGAGGGTCTCGTTGGAGAGACAGCACAGAGTGTCACGTGGAAAACTGAGAAAGAGCAGAATGTGTCTGTATGTCTCCATTCACTCTCTCTCTTTAACGACCCACTGGGATTAAATCAAAGGGAACCCCACCCAATGACCTTAATCCTAATCACCACCCCCATGGCCCGCGTAGTCTCTTAATCCCATGGTCAGATTATGTTTTCACTTCTTAATCCAACCACAACCAAATGTGGTCACATGAATTGTGGGTATACTCAAATCATAGCACAGGGATATGTAAATATGGTTATATTTGTGTGTGTGTGATTAATGGAGATAACTGGAAAATCTGTACCTAGATTTAGCTTCATTCTAGAGCCTCGACCTATCCAAAAAATCAGTCCCCTTTTGGCAACCGGGCATAGGTACAGGGTGGCCAAATTGACCGTAAAATATATTTCACTGGGGCCGGCAGGTGGTGTGGTGGTTAGGGACACAGGACTCCCACATGGCTGGCCACGGTTCAAATCCTGAACCTGGTGGCTTGTTTCCTCACTTTTCCTCTCTCTCTCTCACTCTTGCTCTGTCCCTCTCTGGTCAAATTAAATAAATACATAAATAAAGCTAAATAAAATACATGTGTGTGTATGTGTGTGTATGTTTTTAATTGATGACCATGACGGTAACTACAATTACATTCCTCTAAGGCCTTTGGGTGAAGGTAAAATAGACATTCAACACTGCTTTTCTTTAAAAGCATGGTTATACATGTATGTGTTTTAAAGAATTAGGTGGGAAGCACATGTATGAGCACCTCTCAGATAAGAGAAAAAATGCCTTCCAGATAGGAGGAGAAAATTGAAAACAATTACTAAAGAATTGCTATAGTAAATTTCCTACATAAAGTTACGTATCTAAGGGTCAGCAGGTGGCATAGTGGTCACGGTGCTGGACTCCCGCATGGCCATCCACAGCTCAAGCTCCGGACCCCACGGTGTGATACTCATGCTGGGCCTGTGTGCGTGCCCAAAATCCAAGAGGAAGATGGAGAAGGAATGGCAGCATGGCCCACTCCCTCCCAGGGGTGGAAATTTCCCACTTTATCCCTGTCTCTCCAGTGAACACACATGCCCTATAGCAAAAACCTCACTTAAAAAAAGAAAAAACAATCACATACCTGTGGTTTGCTCCATCACTCAGACTCCAGACACCACCATGCCAACAGAAACCTGAGGATGTTAGTGTCTATCTTGAAAGAAGAGAGGATTCTGTGATACCTCTTGGTGCCCGTAACCCTTCGCAGGACAGTGGCTGGAGGCTGTCCACAGTGTCTCATGTACATTCCATGCGCTGCTGCTCACGGGCCATATTCTCTACAGAGATGTCTTTAAAAATGTCACTGAGGCCATTCGTGGCCTGGTGGGTAAGATGACTGGAAGCCACATGGCCAACCACGTGGTCTGAGTCCTGGGCCCAGTGCCTTCAAAAACACACCAGACTCATGCACTTGTGTCTCCAAAATCCTGAGAGGAGAATGGAAGAGAAGGGATTATGGCATGGCCATCCTCTCTGAGGGGAGCCTTCGCCCTCTCTCTTGCACAACTGCATCCTTTATAGCAAATTTTTAAAAGGAGAGAGAGAAAAAATGTTACTCAATATTTGAAAATAGTCACAGGCTTTTGTTGTAAGTTTTAGATTTTTTGCCATAGGGTGCATGCATTCATTGATGAGAGAGAACGGGAAAGCAAGAAATCACCCCAAGGAGGGATGGCTACACCTCAGTCACTTCTCCTCCATTGTCCCCTCAGGATTCTGGGAACACATGTGCCTGGTGTGTTTTTCAGGCCACCAGGTCTGGGGCTCAAACGATGGAGTCGGCTATGTGGGATCCAACAACTTAACCACCATGCTGCCTACTGGCCTGCCATAGGTTTTTGGGTTTTTTCTTGTTTTTTTTTTTTTTAAGTCTTTTGGTTGTAGTTTCTTAGTCTTCTCAGCCCTCCCTGAAATTACTCTTGAGGAGAAACATTGGTTCCTTTAATCATTGCTGTAGTTATTGTCCCTCTCTTCTCCCGTGAAGCCACATAGGCAGAGCCAGAGAACCGGAAAGCGTCTATGCCGAGGGGGCGCGTGGCTCTGGTTGGTGTGTGGTGTATTTCTCATGGTACTTCAGCGCCGGCTCAGTCTCTGCTCAGCCAGTTTTCTTGGAGAACATCTACCCCAGAGAGCTGCAGGCTGTGGGCCTGGCAGGAAGCAGTCCAGCTGTGCTTCGTGGCTTCCTGCTCGAGCCACCAGCTGCCTCGTGTTCGGCGCTCGGGGTGGGCCCTGCACTAAGGGGCCTGCATGCCCCAGGCTTCCCTCTCCTGTCCTTGGAGGTCAGCACAGTGACTGTCCTTGTTCCAGAAAGGTGGAATGTGAAGCACAGAGAGGGTCGGTACCTTCCCCACAGTCCCACAGCAGTAAAGAGAGGCTATGATACATCTAGAAGGAAGGGGCTAACCTCGCTCTGTAGAAATATTCATGATTAGTAAGTACAGCTCTTTTAGCCACTGTAAGTTCTTTTTGCAAAGTAGGGTCTGTAGACCGCTGTGTGTATCACCAATAGCTGAGGAGATGAAATCCCTCGTGTACTTTTGCTTGGGCAGAAAATGATTCCTGAGAAGGGGTCAAGCCTAACCTGGGCATGTCCTTATTGGAAATGGTGTGAAAAATGTGTTTACATCTCAGATTACGAGGTGCTTTGCTTTTCAGAGAGACCTGGATAAAGAGGCTTCTTGGGCCAGCAGGTGGCATGGAGGTTAAGGTGCTAGATCCCCCATGGCTGACCCCAGTTTGAGTCCCAGACCCACAGCCTGAAAATCACACTGGGTGCATGTGCCATGTTTGCCCAAGATCCTGAGAGGAGAATGGAGGAGAAGAGATGGTGGCGTGGCCATACCCCCTCGGGGGGATTTTTCACTTGCGCTCTCTGTGGCTAGTGCACATGCTCTAAAACAAAAACAAATAAAACAAAAAAGGGGAAAAAAAAGAAAAGAATCTCCTTGGATAGAATTCTGTAGGCATCCTTTCAGTCATTCATTCATTCTCAGATCCTTATTAGGCACCCACAGCAGCAAGAATATGGGTATAGGACCAGCAGTTAGCGTAATGGCTATGTCGCTGGACTCCCACGTAGTCAACTGCGATTCGCGTCCCGGACCCGGTGGCTTAAACTCACGCCGGGCACGTGTGCATGCGTGCCCAAGATCCCAAGAGGAGAATGGAGGAGAAGGGATTGCGGCGTGGTCATCCCCCCTGGGGGGTGATTTCTCGCTTTCTGTCTCTCTGTCTCTCTCCGTCTGTCTGGTGAGAGCAAGTGCCCTATAGTGAAAACATCTCAAAAAAAAAAAAAAAAAAAAAAAGAATCTGGGCTGGAACACGGCTATGGTCACGGATCGTGAAGCTTATGCTCTGTCAGAGAATTAAACCAGTCTTAACCCTTAACTTTGCAGGGGAAGACCCTGAGGCTCGGCGACTGCGCACGGTGAAGAACATCGCTGATCTGCGGCAGAATTTGGAGGAGACCATGTCCAGTTTACGGGGAACTCAGGTTACACACAGGTATCTGCTTCGGGAATACTTTGCTGGACAAGCTGGTGACCGTTTCTCCATGATTGTTCATACCCCTAGCAGAGGGACTGTGCTGATCCTGGAATCAGTACCCTTCCTTCCACAGTGTGCTGGAATTCACAAGGTGTACGATTCAACATGCAGAAGAGACATGCGGGGAACAGAAAATAGTATAGACAGGTGCCAGTAGGTGGCGCGGTGGTTAAGGCGCTAGACTCCCACATGGCCAACCACAGTTCAAGTCTCAGACCTGGCATCTTGGCTTTCTCCCTTTCTCCCTTTTTTTCTCTCTGTCTCTCTCTGGTGAGCACACATGCTCATAGCAAAATTAAAAAAAATAATAACAATACATTAAATAAATAATGTAAAAAAATGAGTATCGATAGGTACTTCCTAGAAGCAGGAGTTGCTAAATCTGTTTAAAAGAGGATAGTGTATTATTGTAGACCAGTTCCACTTCCACTTCACTTTACTTGCATTTTCCAAAACTCGTGCTGTGGGAAGGAGCAGGTGAACTGCGTTTGACCTGTGTGATAAATGAATCGCTTGAATTCCTACCCAGCCCTTTGATATGCAGCGCTCTTTAATACTGTTAGTCATGCACGTGCATAACACACATCAGGAAATATTTATACAGACCTCCGATCATGTTTAAACTGGGATGTAGTTGGCTGAAGTCTAGGGTTACATTGGAAGCGTTTATCAGGGTGCTTTCATTATCAAGAACCTGAAAAGGATGCGGCCCTGGGGTGTCCTCTGTGATTTGGCAAGTCCAGGCTTCACAGTTCGTGTTTGCCTTTGGAAATGAAGAAGTCCTAGTTACCCCGTGAACTCCCAGGCGGTCTCCTTTGCGTCCGTTTTAGTATCATTGATCAGAGCAAACAGCGAGGAGACCACAGGCCTCCTCCACCATCAGCAGTTGTGCCGGATCAGAGTTAAACCGCCGGGGCGCTGCCTTCAGTAGGACTGAGGTTCGATCTGAGGAGTCCAGTAGAGGAAAGGAATGTCACTTCCAAGATCACAGGGAAACAAAAATAACTCAAGGCACAAAATTGGCTCTTCCTGGGGAGAGTAAAGTTGGGGGAGTCGGATGTGACTAAACCCCTCACCCGTGGAGTTGAATGACGTGGAGTCAGACGCTGGGTTCTGTGACTCTGGGCTTAGGTATGAACAGCCCCCTTTCCACCACAATCACGGAAACCGACTTCACGCCGCCGTTCCGTGGATTTCTTGGCTTGCCTTGGATGGTAATCATGACAAGAGGGAAAGCGTTGGTGGTTTGTTCTGCAGGAAAACATCTCCATGACTTCACTTAGTTAGAAAACGCCAGCGTGATTTGTAGGGGGTCCAGGTGATTGGACTGTGCCACAAGAGCCTAGCTGGCTATAAAAACAACACGCCATTGGGCCCGCAGGTGGCATGGCGGTTAAAGCACTGGATTTACACATGGCCAACTGCAGTTTGAGTCCTGGACCTGGCTGCTGGCTTTTCTGCTTTCCTCCTCCCCCACCCTATCCGTCTATCTCTCTCTGTCTTGTGAGTGCACGTGCCCTATAGCAAATTAAAGAATAATAACAAATATAATTAAATAAATAATTCTTTTTTTTCTTTCTCTTTTTTTCTACTTTTTTACCTTTTAAAGGTTTTTGCTATAGGGTGTGTGTGCTCGCCAGACAGACAGAGAGAGATAGAGAGACAGAAAGTAAGAAATCACCCCCCAGGGGGGATGGCCACGCCGCAATCCCTTCTCCTCCATTCTTCTCTCGGGATCTTGGGCACGCATGCACATGCGCTTGGCGTGAGTTTTAAGCCACCGGGTCCGGGACACGAATCGCGGTCGACTATGTGGGAGTCCAGCGACATAGCCATTACGCTAACTGCTGGTCCCAATAAATAATTCTTAAAAAAATAAAATAAAATAAGCACTGCAAAAGGGTCTTTTGATGCCCAAGGATGAACTCAGTCTGCTGGAAGATTCTGATCCAGTTAATGAGATTTATTAGGAAAGTCAGGCCTGGGCATCTACGAGTCTTTTCCGTCTTCAAGGAGGAGATATGGGAGAAGCAAAAATCTGGAAGAAATGGAGCTTAGAGGGCTAGTCAGTCAAGTTCTCTTCACCTCATTCAAGAGGGAGCCACGGTTGTGAAATGTGCTGTGAGAAGCTCCAGGGTGAGCATCTACCTCCTACCCCTAGAAAAGAGCGACATCAGGGCCAGCAGGTGAGGTAGAAGTTAAGGCTCTGGATTCTGCATGACCAACTCTGTGGTTCAAGTCCCAGACGTGGCAGCTTGAAAATCACATTAGGTGTGTGTGCGCGTGTGCGCGTGTGCCCAAAATCCTGGGAGGAGACGAGGAGAAGGATTGCAGCGTGGCCACTTCCACTAGGGGGTGATTTCTCACTTTTCTTCTCTTTCTCAGTTTCTGTCTGGTGAGCACACATGCCCTATAGCAAAAACTGAAAGGAAAAAAAGAGCAACATTTCTAGAATAAATAGGCAGGTAGGATCCTTCATGCCCCTTCTTTATCAGCTCAAAGTGTTTTATTTTTTCCTGGATCGGAAAAAATACAGTAGTTAAGATTATCTAATGAAAATCATTGTTAGTGGCTACCGTATCATGGGTTGTGTTTTAGAGGGCAAGTCTCCCTGGGCTTTTCAGAATGTTCCATGAAAGTGCAGCTTCCCCTGTTCATTATTGACCAAGGAAATACACTTGGTGGTACGTTGGTGCCCGTTGTTTTATCCTATTTTGTATATGAGAAATATTTCCAAATTCCCAAATATTAAAAATGTATAGAGAAGGACCAGTAGTTGACATAATGGCTATGCTGCTGGACTCCCATGTAGTGGACCACGGTTTGAGTCCCAGACCTGGTGGCTTAAACTCACACTGGGCGCATGTGTGTGCCCAGGATCCTGAGGGGAGAATGGCGGAATGGGGCATGGCCATCCCCCCAGGGGGTAATTTCTCACTTTCTGTCTCTCTGTCTCTCTCCGTCTTTCTGGGGAGCGCATGCGCTCTATAGCAAAAACCTCTCAAAAAAAAAAAAAACCCACAAAATGTATAGAGAACAAGGGATTCTAGTGAACTGGGTCTGACAGGACTGATTCTGTGTTTGTAGCACGTTGGAAACCACGTTTGACACCAACGTGACCACGGAGATCAGCGGCCGTAGCATCCTCAGCTTGACGGGGAGGCCCACCCCGCTGTCCTGGAGACTCGGCCAGTCCAGCCCTCGTCTCCAAGCAGGAGACGCCCCTTCGATGGGCAACGGGTACCCGCCTCGAGCCAACGCCAGCCGGTTCGTCAACACCGAGCCAGGCCGCTATGTGTACTCTGCCCCGCTGAGGAGGCAGCTGGCCTCCAGGGGCAGCAGCGGCTGCCATGTGGACGTCTCAGACAAGGCCGGGGACGAGATGGACCTGGAAGGCATCAGCATGGACGCCCCCGGCTACATGAGCGACGGGGACGTCCTGAGCAAGAACATCCGGGCTGACGACGTGACCAGCGGGTGAGTACCTGGGGCCTCGCCTTCACAGAGCGGGGACCACCCTTTCTCTTCTGCAGGGCTTTACTGTAGTCCTCGGGGGAGATCAAGCTGCCTACCTCGGTTCTGCTGTCTTTGTCAAAGGCAGCAGGGCATTAGGGACAAGAGTCGAGGTCCAGGCGTGGCTGGTGACTCGGAAGGCCCCACCAGCAGCCTGAGTGATGCTTGAAAAACGTCCTGTCCAGTCAGTCCCTTAAGCCAGACCTCACGCTGAGGAGGGACTGCTGACTCCGCAGAGCTGCCTGCTCTTGCAGGTCCTGACCCTCACCTGCTTCGTAGAGCTCCTCCGTCCTCCTCCTGCTTCCCCCCTGCACCGCTCATTCTGGTTCTTGGCCTTTTTGAGCTCTTACCTGGCTCAAGGCCTTTCTCACTGCCTGTTTCTGCACCCAGAGTCTGTCGTCTGGGTCTGTGCATGGCCAGCTCCCCGCTGCTGTTAAGCTGGCCCTGGCTTGGAAGGCCCTCCCTGACCATTCACTGTAAAGTAGTCGAATGACCCGCCCCCATCCTGGTCTTTCCATCACCCTGAGTTGGGCTCCTCCGAGAGCGCACCACCGTCTTCAGTGGCCCTGATTCTGTGTTTCTGTGTTGTCCTTTTCCTGTCCCCTCCTGCTTATTAGCAATAAGCACCGAGTAGCAGGGACAGTGCTGCTTATTCATGGCTGAATGCCCAGTGTGAGGGAAGTAACAGGGGCTTCTAAATACTGCTGAATTCACGAGCACGTGGATCGAGGGGTGAAGGGACAAACCCGACCTCCCTGCTTGTCTGTTGGTTTGTCCCTGTGTGAAGCTGGGGAGTAACAGGATGATGTCTGAGGCTCCTTTGGATGGAGCTTGTGGCATGAGGCCTGTCTCTTGTCTTTAGCTCCCCCTGCAGATCGTGGTGCAAACTACAGGTGCATGTCTGACTTACCCGAAACCTCATCAGATAACGTGACTGGCCCAGAAATTCGCCAAGATCTTCTCTTTTCCAGATAAGAATTAGGAATAATAATCCTACCATGCACTTCCATGTAAATGGAGATTAGAGTTCATGGGGTGTCTGTATGTTCATTCCCTTAATACCAGCTAGCTCTCCGCTAAAGTGCTGAGCTCTGTGCTCACTGCTTCGCCTGTAGGAGTGTGGCCTGTCCTTACTGCAGTCCTAGGAGGTACCTGATGTCACAATCCCCATTTTTTAAAGTTTGTTTATTTCGGAACCAGCAGTTGGTGTAATGGCTATGTCGCTGGACCCCCACATAGTCGACCACGGTTTGAGTCTGGGACCCGGTGGCTTAAATTCATGCCGGGCACATGTGTGTGCATGCCTAAGATCCCGAGAGGAGAATGGAGGAGAGGGGACTGCGGTGTGGCCATCCCCCCTTGGGGATGATTTCTCGCTTTCTGTATCTGTCTGTCTGTCTGTCTCTCTCTCGCATGCGCCCGATAGCAAAAACCTCTCCAAAAAAAAAATTGAATACGTTTGTTTATTTCATGCATGTGATAGAAACAGGCACCCCTGACGGGGTCTCATTATACTGCGATCGCCCCCAGTCCCACACTTCCAGCCAGGAGACACGTGCTCAACCTGGGGCCCAAACCTGTATTCCAGGAAGGCTCTGCTCTGCAGAGGGGGCCCCACCAGCTGCGCCGTCCTGCTTGGGCCAGTGATCCCTCTTTTATAGATGAGGAAACTGAACCCAGAGTGGTTCAATAACTTGCCCAGTGTCCTCCCGCTGTGCCCACCCCAAGACCAGTGACTCCAGAGCCCGTGTTCCTTAACCACGGACCCACCCACCATTTTCATGCTTCGTTGAAACAGAAGACTCCTAGAGTTGTTTTCTAAAGTAATTTAATTTGGGGCCAGCGAGTGATGTGGGAGTTAAGGCACTGGATCCCATGTGGCTGCCTGGGTTGTTCAAGTTCTATACCCAGTGACTTCAGAAACACGCCAGGTATGTGTGTGTGCGCGCGCCAAAAATCCTGATAGGAGAAGGGCGGAGGAGGAGGGCTTATGCTTGGGCTTATCCCCCCCTGGGGGATGCTTTCTCACTTTCCTTCTCTCTTTCTGTCTATAACAAATGCATGCACCCTATAGCAAACAATAAAATAAAGTAATTTAATTGTGCTTAATTTTTTCAAATGTCATTCAAAGCTTAGATACAGAGGTGCTTTGATTTTTCTACTTGTCACTTTTAAACTATCTTGGGTAGTAAAATATTTGAAAAAGAAGCCACTAAGTCCTGATTCAGTATGGCATATTTCTATACGCCAGGATGGCTGGGGAATCTCTTGGACTGATAAATCAAATGACCTCGTTTAATGTAGACCATGATTCTGTGTTTTTTGTTTGCCACAAACAGGAAAACAGTACCAGACCTGTTGCTAGGACTAGATGACACGTGAATTCATCTTTTTATTATTATTAGAAAACTTTGGGCATCCAGCATGGCCTCAAGTCTCTCGTTAGCAGTTCTCGTTAATGCCGTATAGCACCCAAAACCCTGGTTACTTTTAGGACTTTTCCATCCAATAATAAAGACTCGCTTTTATTGTCAGACCAGCCTTTGAATCCTAAAGGTCAGAGAATGTATTTCGAGCCAGGGTCGATAGTGTCCACAAGGTGGAGACATTGAAACAGTGAAGCTCATGTCGCACTGAGCTGTTTCCTGCTTGCTTGCTTGCTTTCCTTTTCTTTTTGTTGTTGTTGCTGTTGTTAAAGTAGGGTTTTTGCCATAAGGGTGCACTTGCTGGAAAGAGACAGAAAAAGAGAAAGTAAGAAATCATCTCCTTCAGATGGTCACGCCCATGCCTTCTCCATTCTCCTCTCGGGATTTGGAGCACGCATGCGCATGTATCTGGTGTGACTTTTCAAGCCATTGGGTCCAGGACTTGAACTGTGAATCCTCCACATGGGAATCCAACACCTTAACCACCACACGACTTGCTTGTGGTTTCGTTAGCTTGGTTTCTTTAGCTACCCAAACCAGAGCCTTCACCCTGGCAAAAAAAGCACAAATGTTTACATTTCGGTTCCTGCTTACATTTCTAGCATGTGAGAGAGTGCTTAGGGCAAGTGTAGATAAAAGTGCAGAAATGTAAGCACACCACCCAATTACGGACATTGGAGAACTTGCGTCTGCACCTCCCCCACCTCCTCCACTTCCTTCTTTTTTTTTTAAGAGAGGTTTTTGCTATAGGGCACATGCACTTACTGGAAAGACAGAGACAAGCAGGCTGAAAGCGAGAAATCAGCCCCCGGGGGTATGGCCACACTGCAGTCCCTTCTCCTCCATTCTCCTCTTTTGATTTTGGACATGCTCACACATGCGCCTGGTGTGAGATTTAAGCTGCCATGTCCGGTACTTGAACCATGTGGGAGTCCAGTGATGTAACCATTACGCCATCTGCTGGTCTCTCCTCCCCAGTTCCTTTTAATGTAGAATTTGATTTTCAGAATGAGAAGCTGTAGCTCAGGTGGTGCTCACTGCTGCTTCTGGGGGTGGCACTGGAGGGCACTTGCGGAGGCGGCTCCATGCTGTGGGAAGGCACGTGCCTTTCTGCTTTCAGGATGAGCCGCCAGGCCGCCTTCACATGCCGAGTTCAGAGCAAGCCACGGACCAACATGACAAGGCTGTGTCACTGAAGGGCTGGTCACTCACACCCCTCCACAGCTACTCCACAGGTGGTTATTGAGGAGTTGGCGTGCTGGGAGGAGCACAGACAGACCTGGGTGGGAACGCTGCCCGGGCACTTGCACAGACTCTGACCACCCTCTGAACCCCCTAGCCTGAAAGCATGAGATTTTTTAATAAATTTATTCATTCATTTATTTTAATTTGACAGAGAAAGACACAGGGAGAGAGTGAGAAGGAAAGTGAAAAAGCAAGCCACCAAGTCTGGGACTCAAACCCTGGTTGACCATGTAGGAGTGTCCAGCACCTTAACCACCGCGCCACCTGCTGGTCCCCAAAAGCACTGCAATGAGTACGGTTTTTAGCCATCTCCAGTCAGATTTTTCTGTGAGGTTATCTTTAATTAGTGACAAGTATCTGATAAAGCTACAAAATGTTGGGGCTGGCAGGTGGCATGGTGGTTAAGGCACTGGACTCCCACATGGCTGACTGCAGTTTGAGTCCCAGACCTGACAGCTTGCTCTCTTTCTCTCTCTCTCTCTCTCTCTCCGTCTCTCTGGTCAAAATAAATTAATTAATTTATTAAATAATTCTTGGGGGAAAATGACATAAAATTGCAGTCAGGGTCTAGCTGTTTTATTGATCTCAAACATCCAGGTGCTTGGAAACAATGAAGTGACTGAAGTTTTCTTCCAGATGGTTCTTTGGCTTAATGGGAAGGCCTTCATGTGTGAGTACTGTATCAGTCAGTGCAGAAGGTCTTAGAGGAAAGCCCTTGCCCAAGCTTATAGAAAGTTTCTTTAGAAACCCTGATCTGGAAGTAAATTCTAGTTTCTGGAAAAGCCTAAGACCTTTCGTTTTTAAACTGACATTGTATAGGCCAGCAGGTGGCGTGGAGTTAAGGTGGCAGGATCCCTCATGGCCGACTCTGCAGTTCAACACCCAGACCTGGCAGCATGAAGGTTACTCCAGGCGCATGTACATGTAGGCAAACATCCTGAGAGGAGATTGCTTTCTCACTTTCCCCCTCTGTCTCTTGCCCTCTGTCTCTCTCCAGTGAGCGCACATGTCCTATAGCAAATTAAAAAAAGTGGCACCATACCTCAGCTTGGCAGAGCAGCTATTCGGCGATGTCTCTGGTTCCTTTTCTACACCGGGGGTGTTAATGTGTACACCTGTGCGTGTCCTCCGACTCCCCCTCTTAGGGCTGATGAGACTTTCTCTCTGGAGCGAGCCGAGAACATCCCAGCAGATGCCTTCTGTCTGTGTGTGTGCTTCTTGTGCTCAGCGTGTGGCATGTCCAGGGACCTCACGGGTGGTCGTTGAACTCACCACTTCCTCTTATTAGGCTGA